TCTCTTTCTCTCCTTCCTTCCCTCCTTCCTTCCCTCCTTCCTTCCCTCCTTTCTTCTCTCCTCTCCTTCCTTTCCTCCTTCCTTCCCTCCTTCTCTCCTTCTCTCCTTCCTTCCCTCCTTCCTTCCCTCCCTGCTTCCCTCCCTCCTTCCTTCCCTCCACTTCCTCCTCCCTTTCCTTCCTTTCTTCTCTCCTTCTCTTCTTCCTTCCCTCCTTCCTTCCCTCCTTTCTTCTCTCCTCTCCTTCCTTTCCTCCTTCCTTCCCTCCTTCTCTCCTTCTCTCCTTCCTTCCCTCCTTCCTTCCCTCCCTGCTTCCCTCCCTCCTTCCTTCCCTCCACTTCCTCCTCCCTTTCCTTCCTTTCTTCTCTCCTTCTCTTCTTCCTTCCCTCCTTCCTTCCCTCCTTTCTTCTCTCCTTCTCTCCTTCCTTCCCTCCTTTATAATTTAGTAGGTACGGCAAAGACATTTACACTCGGTCTAATGTTTTAATGTCTGTTTAATTTAAAAAAAAACTTTTTTAGAAAAAGAAAAAGAAAGACGATTAGGACACAGAGCCGTGATTGCCACCGCCGCAAAGGGAGGGGAGAAAGAGAAAGAAAGAAAGAAGAGGGAGAAAGAAAGAAGGAAGGAAGGGGGAGAGAAAGAGGAAGGAAGGAAATTAAAGAAAAATTGGGGGTGAGAAAGGAGGGAAGGGAAGCAGGGGTGGGCTTCTTCAAAATTTTTAGCAAGCGGTTCTCTGCCCAATTGCTGGGTGGGTGTGGCCATGGTGGGTGTGGCCTAATCGGCCTCCTGCACCATGGCGGGTGGGGGGTATTTTTCATTCTCCCCAAGCCTCTGTGCTTCCTGCCCTTACCTGCATCGAAAATGGGAGGGAGGAACCAAAGGAGGAGGGAAGATTATAGGAGGGGAAGAAAGGAGAGGGAAGGGAAAGGAAGGAGAAAGAAAAGAATGAAAAAAAGCGAAGGAGGAATGAAAGAAGGAGGGAAGAAGGGAAGGAATTTGGAGGCATTGATTTTAGCAACCTCGGGGTGCCCTTGGAAGAGGTTTTCATGCATGCATGCAAAAAAAGAGGAAATAAATAACATTATTATTATTATTATTATTTAAAAACCAAGAGAAAGACGCAAAAAGAAGAGCAGAGGAAGGGAATGAAAAGTGGAAACTCCCAAGTACAAGGAAGAAAAGAAGAAGAAAGAAGAGGAAGAGGGAAGGAACGAAGGGAAGCAGGAAGAAAGGAAAGGGAAGAAGAAAGGGTGAGGGCAGGGGGAAGGAAGAAAGGAAAGGAGAAAAATTGGTGAGGGAGGAAGGAAAGAAGGAGGGAAGGAAGGAAGATGATAGGAAGGAAGGGAAGGGGAAGAAACGAGGGAAGGAAGGGAAGATGATAGGAAGGGTGGAACGAAAGAAGGAAGGAAGATGATAGGAAGGGAGGGAAGGGGAAGAGACGAGAGGGAAGGAAGGGAAGATGATAGGAAGGGTGGAACGAAAGAAGGAGGGAAGGAAGGAAGATGATAGGAAGGGAAGGAAGGGGAAGAGATGAGAGGGAAGGAAGGAAGATGATAGGAAGGGATTGATTTTGGCAGCCTCGGGCTGCCCTTGGA